TCATCACCTGGATAGTTGGCGCTTCACTACTGTGCACTTTTCGAGACACTTTTTGCTCCGCACAACCAATCTGTGCAACGGGTTAATATTAGAGATCTAATTTAAATTTATAATTTAAAGCGTTTTCCTGACATTTCACTTTAAACTGGTAACCGCATAATGGAAGGTTAAAAAACGTAAATTAAATGTACCTAAAACATTTAAAAGTTAGTATATACTTAAGGAATGTTTCGTTGAGGATACTATAAACAGTAGTTAAATTAAAACTGACTGACTAGACTGTGAGATCGGTATTCAAAGATAATAATATATTTAATTGCGATATTTGGCCTTCGTTGCCGACGCTTAGGTGTGTAGTAGTCTGCGTTGTATGTGATTAACTAAAGGTAGTCTTTCTTTTTTACAGCATCAAGTGACGGATGTCTGGTGCAGGTCACTATATCCCACCTCTATATTCATAAGTATAATAAATGTCGTGCAGAACGTGACTTATATGCATGTATTATGTAAATATTTGTAGAGACTAGTCATTAGATCAAGGCTCCTTAAACTACCTACTGCACACAAAGAAGAAATTAAGGCACGGAGTCATTTAGACGTTTGAAAAGACAAAGGTTTAGTAATATGTTTTACAAAACAACTTCATATTCAAATGTTTAATGTAAGCTGTATTTGGACATGTCCCTGACCGATATGTATTTCCACATTCAAAAATGCAGTATACAGTAATTGCTACGAAGCAATTATAGTCGTTGAGAAGTTTCTCAAATAAGATGCCTATTTTAACAGAATTATATGGTTATTGTCTATGCATGGATGCACAGATAAAGGTATAATAAAGCTGCTTACCATTAAAAATGCATGACGAGTCATAAATCGAGTACACCTAAATACAAAGTGTTTGAACTGCAAAGATTATCAATCAGGCCAACAAAGCTAAATTCTTTTTGAATATTTTCGCCAACCCTTCCCCCCTCCAACTGTATCGTCACGTTCTCGTCGTGGCGGGGGGGGGGGGGGGGTCAGTGATCTCTGAGGCTATGCCGGTAGAGTCACTCATGCCGGATTGGCTCAAAGGGAGACTCCAGACTACAAAGGATACTCGTTGGGGCCTTTCTCGGGACACCGATAGTTACTCCACTATCCAAAGTGGAGGAACGACGATGGGCTCGGTGAGCACTTACACTACCACCAAGCAGGCAATGGGGATCGTGTCACCTTGCCGCCATTTGCATATAGGTAGGAGTGTCGTGGTTATGTCGCGGGGGTTATCTCGCGACTCTAATCGGGGGCGAAGGTCTTGGCATAGCCGCCCGTACTGCGAGGAAGAAAACCTCAGTTCGTGCGCCTTCCGCGTGTTTCGGCTACTCTCGGCTGTCTTCATAGAAGGCAGCTGTGCAAGGCAACAACGGGGAGCCGCAGGGCGCGGCGCGGAGGTGCCAACCTCTGAAGTCCGCAAGCATCGCACGCGCACCACACTTTAATTAGTTTTATTAATATATCTACAAATTTACAGTCCATTGCCTTTAAATTATATACCCGTAGATCAGGGATTTAACATTAGTCCTTCGAGCCGGAAAAAAGATCATCCTGAACGGTAAGGCCAACCATTTGGATATCATTAAACGAGAGACCAGACGTACTTACAGCTGATGCATTAGAAGCAATTAAAAATATTGATCTTAAAGCTGCTCAGTCAAATTCAAATTTAGTCAGCTCAAATTTACAGTCCATTGCCTTTAAATTATATACCCGTAGATCAGGGATTTAAAAACCTCTTTAAAAATCACTCCGAATCCCGTGTTCTGGTGCGTTGCCTGGGGATGCATGGCTAATGGAAGGAGAAGCGTAAGAAGGAGAAGCCTAGGAAGGCAGACGACTTCTCGTCCAACGACAAAGAACTTGTGCTAGAGACGCCTATCTCGATAGGACTCCCAGAAATTAATGTTACTCCTACGAAGTGGAGATCTGCGATATCCGGAAACGCAGACGCTTCACGGACATCCCAGGAGTTACTACCTCCCAAAGTGGTTAGTGGTCGCAGAGGGAGGCCGCGTACTCCGGTTTTGGCTGTGTCAGGCGACTCAGGTCGGAGGGCAAAAGCGCAGTGGAGGAGAGATCGCGGCCCACCTGCATAAAATACGGGATCCGGTGAAAAGTGGTTCTGTCCCCCAAACATCGGTGACCATAATCATCAAAGTGGCTACCAAATCAACGAACCTTAAGGGCCAGTTAGTAAGGGCCCTTAAGGACTCCTCCTCCGCTCTTGACGGGGCAGGTGGCTGAGCTCAGCGCTCAGTTTGCCCATTTACAGGCGCTGGCTGATCACCCCGAGCAACGGGACCCGGCTCCGCGGCAGCCTCTCGCTACTTCCACTCCCGGTCTCGGCGACGTCGCCGATGCCATCATGCGCCAAATCATTAGGCGTATAGATGGGCGTCTCGCGGGCCGGAGGCCGGCCGCTTTTGGCAGCGGATAGGCTGAAGGTCGCGTCAGCACCGACTGCACTGCTCGTTGCGGGTGGTCGTGTCTCCTACGCGGTGGTGGCGTCGGTAACTGCCCCTGCGGTCGCTCCGAAGGCAAGACTAGGGGCTAAAGCAGCTGAGGGGCCTGCGCAATGGCCGGTACTCCCCCGTGGGATTTGAAGACGGAAGTGCTCGCCGAAGTATATTGGCAGACGACTGAGATCCGCGCGGTTAGCGGCAGTCGGCCCGGCAAGAGATACGCGAGTGGCGTGAGGCCGCTCGTCGAGCCACGATGGCTCATTGGTCGTCCAAGCTGGGGGCCCCACGGGCCCCCGCCGTGGAGGCGCTCCAGCCGGTCATCGTCGAGTGACTGACGCAAGTCCTTTCCGGGCGCGGCTGCATTAGCCTGCACTAGGTCGCTAGGAGGAAATTGAGTCCCGCCTGTCACCACTGCGATTGCAGTGAGGACTCGGCTCAGCACACGCTGGCTATTTGCCCGGCTTGGACGCAGCAGCGCCGGGTCCTCATTGAAGTCATCGGGGGAGATCTCTCGCTACCAGCCGTCATACGTTCCATGGCCGGTAGTGACAGATGTTTCACCGCGGTCGCATCCTTCTGCGATACGTCTTCGCAGAAGGAGGCGGCGGAGAGGGTCCGGGAGGACAACCTTCACTCGGCTCCAATCCGTTGCTGGCGAACCGGGCGGCGGAGGCGCGCTTATCACCGCCTCATGCCCTGAGTGTGGCCGCGGGTAGACGGGACGGGTTTTCCATCCACCGGCCATAACGGCCAGCCGCGAGGAAGCTGCGTCCGCGTGTGCCGGACGTCGCCTAACTAGAGATTGTATCCGAAGGTGGTATCCACGCCGTTGCGGGCAGGCGCTAGGAGGGGTCCGGATGTCTTAATAACAGCAGTTCCCGCCAATCACCAGATGGAGCAGGGAGACTGCAAACCTCCCCGCAATTCTCGACAAGCGTCGGGCGCCAGCCGGTCACCCAGGTTGCCTCCGACGTCGTTCCTGCTTCGTCATCGTCGCCCATGGAAGAGGTTGTAGAGACGGCCCAGTAATGGACCAAGTCTCTGACCTCCTTGTCCAGACGAACCTAAACCACTGTGGCAGTGCGCAAGACCTTTTCCTGAAAACCAAGTAGTCGATCGGTGTGGCCGTAGCCGCGGAGCTCTATTATCTTCCTCCCCGTCCAAACGTGTTGAGTGACCGGGAAGGCACCGTGGCAGTCGTCAGCTCTACGGCGGCTCATTCCCCGCCCTTGTCGTTAAGAGACAAGGGCACTGGGTATGTTGCTGTCGAGTGGGGGGGGGGGGGGGAGATCACCATATATGGTGTTTACTTCTCCCCCAACAGGAGTTGAAGCGAATTCGAGGTTTTCCTCAACAACTTGGAGACCTCGATGCGGCGATTAGCGTCTTGGCACGCAAAATCCATTGCTTGGGGTTCTCCCAGGACGGGCGCGAGGGACGAGGCCGTAAAGGAGTTTGCGGCCTCGGTGGGCCTCAGTCTTCTAAACAGAGGCTCCACCAACACGTGCGTGCGGGACGGCCCTCCGATTCGGTCGCGGCCTACAGGCCCATCGTATTGCTGGACGAGGCTGGTAAATTGTTAGAGAGTATTCTCTCTGCCCGCATCGTCCAGCACCTCTGCGATGACAGAAAAAGAAACATAGTCTACTTTCGATATATTATATATTTTTTTAATTCAATCAAAGGAGGATGAAATTTTGACTGAAGACTACAGTTTTTTCTCTCTTGTCAAGAGGATTGTCACTTTGTAAGTGCACTAGGTGTCCGGATTACGTTTAGTACTGAAGGCGGAGATCAATTCTCACTTGCTATTTTGCCCAATTCACGTAGACTGTCGTGTTTTGACATAGCTCGGGTCTCGAAGCCAGCGAAGCCATATTCTTGATTTTTTTCTCGATGAATTGTTTATTAATTTTTCTTGAAAGATATTTAGTATAACATGTACAACTATGTTGCGACAGTTTAGTTTTATAATAACAGCGGTAATAAACTATCATTCGACCTTAACAGAACTTCCGAATACATTTTTAAGGTCACAAAATATAAAACGCGTTAGTAAATTTTACTTCAAACAGCCTCTAGTCACCAGCTTGACCATGAATGTGTAAGACGCTAGTTTAGTTTTTCAATATCACCATGCCATTCACGCAGCTAACTCGACACAGTACAATAGCACAACTTTACTTTAAAATCGACGGCTCAAAGTGGCGTTCGTTCTCCTGGACATATACATACACTTAACTGACAAACACATGTGCGGTGTTAGGTAAAGTGACCCTAAAGATAAGCTTTTACAATTGTAGATTACAATAGATATTAAATTTGTGAGTGACGGCGATCAGTAGATACTGGACGTTGATACGTATTTGTATAAAATTGGCGAGAGGGTGCCGGGAGATACACTCGTGTGCAGCACGTGTCCCTTGCCTGGCTGCTGATCTCTAGTGCCCTTTGGACGGTTTGTGTATGAAAATAAACGTTTTGGAAGTTGTCAAAATGGTGAGCACGCATATCTTCTTAATTAAGTTGTGTGAAACTTTTTAAATTATAGTCTAAGAAAAAGTAAGTTGGTGCTTCTAAAAAATATTTTTAAGAAGAAAAGAGAATATATATTAGCTGCATTCTTATCCATTAATTATTTGTTGCAAAGCAAATAGTTTTAGATTTCGATTCACAGTATATCTCAATAAACATATAAATTCAATTTTGAGATAATATCATACAAACTCAGATTGGATGAATATAAAAAAGGTTAAAAATATTTGTACTTCAAATTTAATAAATAAATAAAAAAAAAAGACTCGGGGACTGCCGCGGTAAAGCTATTGCATAGCATTTTGTATCAACTTATGCAATTATAATTATTTATTTATGCAGTATTTCTTTTTCTTTGATATTAATTCAAGTTACACTTTTTGAGCGTGATGACCGATAAGAAAACATTTTTTTTTCTTTTATTAAATAAAAATATTGAAGCATATATTACAATTTGTTTTTAAATAAATAAATAAAAATATTATTATTAAATCAAATTACATATCCATGTAAGATTTTTCTGCATTATGTTGACGAAATTTCCTTTGACGTTCAGCATTTGATTTTGGTACTGTTTTTTGTTTTGTTTTTAGCGTGAGGTTTTTTTTCGTTACGGAATTTCTGGATTCGGTCCCCGCGCTCAAGGCCCTCGATAGAAGCTATGCAATAGCTTAATAATTCAGGAATTAGTAAGTACATAATAACAACTCATTGTTATATTGTGTACCAATTAGTAGTTAATATAAATCGTTCGACAATCGCCATGAAAAAAATATCAGATACCAAAGTTTAATTATGAAATACATTTAGTTTTTGGTGACTCAGTTGAGATAAATTATAACTACTAAAATATACATTTCTTATCATCATCATCATCATCATCAACAGCCTTTAACAGTCCACTGCTGGACATAGGCCTCTTCTTAAAAAGGAGGTTTTGGCTTACTATACCACGCTGGCCAGACGGGTTGGTATAGGGTTTGTTGCAAGTTTTCCTTCTCTTTGCAGTGCTGTTGTCCTGAGCAGTTTGCTCCCTTAGTCGTCTCTTACTACACCCACGGGATGAACTCCGTATTCTTAATTCGTCACCACACGGACAAACATTTCTTATAAGAAAATATGATTGATTTCGTTTCTATTTTATTCAAAACATTATGTGCTAATATAGAAACGGGTAAAAATTAAATGCAGTAATGTGCACTAAATTTAAATAAATAATATATATGTTCATGGACAAGCGGAAAAGCATTCTACAGGTGACCATGATCAAAAGACCTCTGAAACAATTACGATAGTTTCATAAATGAGCGAACACGGACTAACAAAGACATTTAATATTTTATTACCTATTAAGTATACCTATATAGCATTGGTGACGGATTAAGAATACAAATTGTCACCACCCCAGTTCATCCCGTGGGTGTCGTAAGAGCCGACTAAGGGAGCAAACTAAGCAGGACAACACCACTGCAAAGAGAAGGAAAACTTGAAACAAACCCTATACCAACCCGTCTGGCCAGCGTGGTATAGTAGGCCAAAACCTCCTTTCTAAGGAGAGGCCTATGTCCAGCAGTGGACTAGTATAGGCTGTTGATGATGATGATGATATAGCATTGATGACATATTATTTATATTCATTATTTTATTAGAAAACTTTCTGATCAACTGATGATAGAGAAGAATTGAGTAGTTTATAAATAATGTTAACAATAACTTGATGTCCTCTTAATCACCGGCGAACTTAAACCAAAATGGTTTGAGCAATACACGCCATTACATATAAATCATTCATGGCGCAAACTCTTAAACGATAAACAACATTATAAAACTAAGCATGTATTATATGAATATTATTTTATTCATAATGCAGTATTATTAAAATATTTGTTCCATCTACAATTTAGCCTCAATTTGGATTTGTACATTATGTAAAGTTATTAAAAGTATATCTATAAGTAAGTTAATACTATAAATAAATTATGTACTAGCTCTTGCCATTGGCTCCGCTTGCGTATATGTCGGTTATCGTGGTTAAAAGTAACTAAAATTCATCGGAATAGGTTCAGTAGCTATTGATTTCCCATACAAATTGCCACCCCCCTTTTCAAGCTCTTAAAGGATGATTTCTGGGATAAAAACCATCCTAAGTCCTTTCCCGGGACTCAAACTATCTCTATACTATAAGAGGTAACAGACAGACAGCTAGAGGGACAGATAGACACACACATTTTAATATTTGTATGGACTAGTATGGATTTAATTAGAGACAATAGTAGTTACTCGTAGAACCGGCAAATGTGATACGGGATAAATTCGTCTTATTGGTTTTATCCAAATAGGTTTAAGGAAATCCCTATTTACCATCGGGTTAATAACAGTGATAACGTTATGTGATTTCAAGTTTTTACCACCAAATTTAAACAATAAAAAATTCAATAAATTTCTTTAGAAAACATGTTATTAAAATATAATGCGAACTTGATCTTAACTGATACAAGTAAATTCCCCCTTTTTTAAGTTTCAAAACTTGGAATAATTTGTAGGTATGAACCACTAATACTGGTGTAGCATATTATTTCGGTAGACCCGATAATATCGATAGTAGCGATAGAAAGAGAGCGAAACCCAATATACAAAATAAAGATAGATAACTAATATCTAATAATGAAATACTTTATTGATTTACTCACGGGCCGGGACAGGTCTGAATCACTAACCACTACACTCACTGGATAGTGATGCCAACATCTGAGCTAAGGACAACATCCACGCAGTACAAATGATTTTATGATATTTTCATGTGTAGATAAAATAAACTAAATGTAAGTTGTTTTTTTTGCTATAGTGACGCAAAATAAAAAAATGTGTAGAAATATTTAGTTGTTGGGTAGGTACTGTGTTTAGTTTAAACATTGAGTTACGCATAATAAAATGTTATGGTTAACATAACAACATGGGCTACCTGCTTTTTATTTGCATCAAAGTCAATGTCAGGCGATTATGATACGCCTGCGCCTGTGAAGTGTATTCTTTTATTGATTTAAAGAGATATCTCTGTGTACAGACTAAATCGCTTTGAAGAATTATTCTAAGGCGAACAATAAAATGTATGCATTATATGTAATGTAAACCGTATGTATACTTATACAATAAGATATATTCATACCTACTAATAAGAAATATTCCTACGTCAATCTGAACTGTTTGATTTCTTTTCTGTTATGTTACAAAACAAAATATGTTCTTTAAAGTAGTCTTCAAGTTTAATCTACAAATGGATTAAAATAAAATTTATTTTTAGGTTCAATATATGTAGTATTTACTTATTTTATTTATTATATAGTTTTATTTATTTTAGAAAAAAATAGGATTAGAAGTAAAAAAGGAAAATAAGGCAATCATAGTTGTTTAGTACTGTCTGTTTAGTATTTCAACACAACTGACCTAAAATTATGGCTGCCTTATGTTTCTGTATATATAGTATGTAGTCGCAAATATATTAAAAACGTTTAAACATCGTTTTAAGAAGTTTTGACAACAAATGTACCCAAAGTAAACAAATTGTACAAGCGAAAGCCTACTTCGTAATTAATCTTACTTGAGTTGATGACAAACGACTAAATTAGAGACTTTATCTAATTAAAATAATACAATAAACTATGATGAAAATATTTAAATTTTCATTTATTTTTGTTTTCTGTTTTAGACTTTAATTTAGGGTAGTTTGTGTATACCTAATTGGTAGATATTATCTGTATCTATTGGTTTGTGTCTTTGATTAGGAGGTAATAAATGTTCATTGTCACGTTTTGTCAATAATATTTACATACATACATAGAAAATTTAATTCTACATTTACGATTAACTCTTTTATCCTAATCTAACATATAATAAACTCGATTAGATTAACTGTATTAATGTTACTGTATGATAAAACCATAAACAAAATTGACGTTTTCGTGATTAATACCTAATTGATATATTTTATGGCCATTGAAAGACCTTAAACATACATATTACGTAGTTATCTACCTACCTTAGTAATAGAATATGCAACATAGCATAAAAGGTTTTCACATTTTTTAAACAGATAACAAAAAGTCGGGTGTGTAACCAGATGTCATTTCCGTCCGCGCCTGCGGTTAAATCCACCGATAAACCAAATAACCACGCCGAAATGAATATTAAAAAATGAAAGTGATTCCTTAATACCTAACTAGAACTAAAGATAATTACCTAATTAAATACAGTTTCGTAGACAAATTTATAATACCATAGTGTTGCATGGTTAATAATATATTGTGTCAAGACCTAAAAATGCATTTATGATTCAAACAGAAAATACTAGTCACTGGAGCCTAAAGTCACATAGTAAATCTTTAACCTCAATGTAAATGATATATGTAGTTTGGTGAAAAGTATGTAAATGATTATATCTTAGGCTAACTTTACTAGTGGTTTAAATAAAAGATTTACATCATGGCAATATTTTTTTTAAGCAAAATTAAATAATTTTCCACCGGTCCAAAAGCCTTGTGAGAAATACAAGAAAAGATTCCGATAACCTGATATCGTTGTCTTATACTTAGTTGAATTCGGGTGAGAATAGTTGAAAAAGTTTTTACGCGGACACGTGACGGGCGATAACGCATTACAGCCCGTCACGTGTCCGCCTAAAAGTAACGTTAATAAAAGTTATAAATGTCATTAATTTCCATCAAACGAAAATGTTGAAGTAACTGCTATATTTCGATCCGTTTAAGACGGTAGCTCATCATCCGTTAATAGGCTTCATTCATAGTAACAACGGTTTTCTTTTATCGTGGGATTCCCCATGGGTAAACGTGCTATGTGTATACATCAAGAAGATCATGTTAAAGTTTGGTCTATCCATCCATACATTATTTGTAGCTGTTTATTATTTTTTTCTTTTTTCCTTGTACTTCTATAACGAATTGGGTAATGATTTCATACTGTATTTTAACTTAGAGCAAATAAATATTACATACTGACTGTTATTATCTAAGTAATTGTTTGGTGAGTGAAAGCGTTTATCGCATATTTTTTTAATTTTCAACCTATTTATTAATTATTTTAGTTTTCACTCTTTTTCTACATGTAAACTTTAGGTTACCTATTCCAAATTTGTTTCAGCCAAATTTTCCCAAAAATGGTTACACATAATTCTCTTCGAATTAAAATACAGATAAATATTAATTTATATACTCTATTCAAAAATAATATTTTGCATAGTTTTGAGACAATGGCTAGTACCAGAAAAATAGAGATGCTTTGTAATAGATGTGCTTTTATGTAGTAAGATCCATATATCTTAATTACAGTAATGAAGTCACGAAGACCTGACCAATCTCGTCCATTAGCATATCTTTACAGTATTGGCTTGCAATGTCGATGTGCGGCGGCACTGGTTTTTGAAACCTTATTTATCTTTACAGTAAATACACTTTTATCATTATGTACGTTGTACGTATTGCACATGCCTCATATCTTTATTTTTTAACACGTAGAAAGCGTCAACACAAAAAAAACGAAGATAAAATTATTCTTTGTTCCAATGTCACTGATATAAAACGGACATTTCGACAGTGTTCTGTATAAGAAAATTTACATCTTTTTTTTAATTTTTATTAATTTAACTTACTCGTATATTTAAGCATTAATAGCCGGTAACTCATAGACCAGCCAGGTTCAAACTTAGTAGCATAAATAACATTATAGTAGAAAACATTGGTAGGGAAAGGAACAGAGCTCCGTGGAGGTTAATTTATTAAAATAAGTTGCATAGCAGGGTTATAAATTAAAAGTGGCGATTGTTTACTGTACAAATAATACTTCTAATTTTTTAAATTTGTTTTCTAATAAAGCAGAAGAGTTAGTTTGTTTGGTCGTTCTCGCTTATTAGGAAGAACTTAGGAACTACTAGTTCAAATTAAAAAATCGTTTAGTGTTGGATAGCCCATTGATCGATATGACATCACGCTACGACCAATAGTGGCCGAAAATCAATGAAAAATGTTGCAAAATGGAGGAAAAATTAGTCCTTTAAAAGACCCAGACGCGGGTCAGCCAGTGAGGCATAAAAATAGTATTTTAAGATTTGTGTATAAATTAAATAAATCTATCTAAAGTGACAGGTCTAAAGAAATATTTTTTCAAAACTACGAGTAGTATCTGTGTAGAAAACCTAAAATAGTTCTTCAATTTGATGTATGGGTCCACAGCCGTGCTATGTATATTTGTTATTGTTAAAAAGATGCTGAAGGATGTTATAAACTATGCAAAAAAAGTCAGGAAAAAAGGCATGTAAAATATTCTAGGCGTTAAACACGTAATAAGTTGCGCTACTTTTGTTTAAGAATATGATTTTGATATTCAATGGTAATTATGCCTTAATTTAACTTATTGAACATCTGACACGAGTAGGTATAAATAGGTATTTATTAAGCTTATCCTTATTTAATTGGTGTAACTTTGTTGTGTTTGCAAATAATTTTTTCCCTGTTCTAAGTTAATATTCCGATATAGATAGTTTAATAAACATAAACGTACAAAGCAAATAACTACTAATATTAAAAAAGTATCTATCGCACAATACAAAAATCATACTCTATAATTACCTCGTTCGTACTATACTGGAGTACTGTAGTACAGTCTGGCGACCACATTACGCTTGCCACAGCCTAAGGTTAGAACGAGTGCAGAAAAGGCATTTGGCCGTTACCGCAGGAATAGCTCATAAAATAAAGTCGTATGATCTGCTATCATTGGCACATTTCAAAATGACTTCCTTGCAGAAACGTGGTATTATAATTGACGCTATGTTTATGGGCAAAATAGATTGCCCCGAACTTATAGGCAAAATTAAATTTCGTGCTCCCATTAGAAATCCCCGTGCACAAATAACCCCGCTATATCCGCCACTTCGTAGAACCGTGCTTGGTTCTAACTCAACTATACGAGTACCTTGTCTTTGTAGAACCATAAATAGTTACTCTGCGGTCATAGATGTACACGCGGACTCGCTTCCCATATTCCGCAAAGGCATTATGAGTGAGTTGTAATGTGTATACTGTATTTGTAATCATTTATCAACCAATTAATGGTTGTATCAATTTGTTATAGGAACCCTAATGTGCAAATTACGATTTTTGTTTTAAAGTATAGGCCACTTCGATACTACTGCATTAATCACTGTTTGTTGGTTTTTGTAACTGTATAACTTTATCAACTGTAAATTATTTGTGCACGCTGTGCATGCTTGTAAAAGGCTACTATACTATTATGAAGCTTTGTAATGTAAAAGAAGATTATGTAAATATAAGTAGTTGTTGGTCATCATCATCATCAACAGCCTTTAATAGTCCACTGCTGGACATAAGCCTCTCCTGAGAAAGGAGGATTTGGTAATCAGGGAGTTGTTGGTAATCCTAATAAGAAAAAATGTATGTATTATATCTTTTTAAAGCTTGATATTGTCTCTGTTAATAAAAATACCTTCTTACTTTTTCAGGGTGATAATGGATATAAAATTGATGATGATGTGGGAAAACGAGGAGTAAACGATTCGAATCTACCATCATACAAGCCACCTCTTGAAGACAATGATGAAAAAAATGTAAGTACGTCTGATGTTCGCATTTGTAAAAAGGAAGAGTATAACTGCAGGGAAAAATATTAGCCTAATAAAATTGCAGTTCTGTTTATATATATGTATTATAGCTATTTTGAAAACTTTTACAAATTCAACACTATGTGTAATAACCATAAAAATTTGTTAAGGAAAAGAATATGCGTGCAACACCCAACGGTAGTAGTAGTAGTAATACAATTGGAAATACTCGTATGTTCACATCACATCATCAACAGCCTTTAATAGTCCACTGCTGGATCTAGGCCTCTCCTTAGAAAGATGTGACGTTAAAGATATTTAAATGATATATACCTTGTTTACCACATATATGTAGTGCTTAGTTAAGCCTAATACATGTGTACATACCTTAGGTACAGTATACGTTCCGATATACGTCCGCCCAGTAACTGATTAGCGGTACGTGTTAAGTAGTAACCAAGAATTTCAAGCCAATATATCTTCAATATTTACATACATTTATCGGTTATGAGTAATGACATTTCTTAGGAGTGCCCCGCAATTCACACCTTAACCTATAAAGTCATATGTTGAATCATTGACTTGAGTGAAGCAAACACATCTTATGTTTGGTGTCAGTACTATTTTATTTGTTAAGAAATACGCTATATGACCTAATTTCAGAAAGAAGATGTTGAAGATAATGGACCAAAGCGAGCAGTGTGGGGCAATCAATTAGAATTTCTTATGTCTTGTATTGCCACTTCAGTTGGTTTGGGAAATGTGTGGCGATTTCCCTTCGTAGCATACCAGAATGGCGGCGGTGCCTTCCTAATTCCATATCTTATTGTCCTGATCTGTATCGGCAAACCAATGTACTACTTGGAGTGTCTACTAGGGCAGTTCAGTTCAAGAAATTCGGTCAGGTTTTGGGCACTGGCTCCGGCAATGAAAGGTATATATATATATACATACCTTTTTGTAATAGAAAGTAATTTCATAAACGTTTACGTGTTATGTTTTCCCAATATAAAATGTTTTTTGACTGAGAAAGTCCGTTATGCTATTAAAAGGAAACAAAGGGATGCTTGACTAAAAACCTCTTCGTGTTTTACTGTTAAATTACTCAGTTTAATTTATATTGAACGAAATAAAATTATACCCAGGTGACGAGCGCCTGCTTACTTTCCTATACTTTCTTTATGTAAAAATCAACTTGTGAATTAAGTTCTTAGATGTCTTGTAATTTACGATTTCAGGCGCCGGTTACAGCGCGATATTGGGTTGTGCTTATATATTGACTTACTACGTATCAATCGTGGGGCTGTGCCTTTATTATTTGTCAATGAGCTTCCAATCTACGCTCCCATGGAGTGTATGTGCACCTGAGTGGACTGACTGCATTCCTTCTGATCCTAATCAACCAGCAACAGAAGTATCGCCAAATGCTAGTAGTAGTGCTGAGCTCTATTTTGTGTATGTTATTATACATTTATTTTCTATAGCTTCTGTAGCTCTTAAGTTCTGTGGCAACCTTTAGGCAGGGACAACAGCAAATTACCAAGTGACTTTTAATTCATTAGAGAGACTACTTTTTAGGTTTCCGATTACTTAAGCTCGCATTAGGTCTAAAAACTAAACTCGATGTCCTTGAGCTTTAAAGGCGAATTAGCTTATTTATGTGTGGGTTTTATTTTGTGCAAAGGATGACCTTCTCTTAGCTTTACCCATCATAACGTTTATGTACTCGCCTACAGTCCGCGTACTAGGCGGTCGGAAAAGAAGTTTTTCCTGGATACTTACACCATGAATGTTAAAGCTTTATTCTCAAATCTAAAATAAAAATAACATCTTGATATAAAATTGAACATGATATGAGTATTCTATTTGGAGTTTCAGTAATAAATAAAATTTATTTAATTTTTCAGCAAAACGGTACTCCAGCAAATCGATGGAATTGAGGGTGGCATAGGTTCGTTTTTATCATAATCGTATCATATCTGTAAAAAATTTAAACCATGAATATAATGTACTAATAGGTTGTCGTTGTTTAGGTGCTCCGATATGGTACTTAGTCTTATGTCTACTTGCCTCGTGGTTCATAATATTCGTGATCGTTTCACAAGGAGTCAAGAGTTCCGGTAAAGCATCCTACTTCTTGGCGTTATTCCCCTACGTTGTGATGATTATTCTACTAATTACGTAAGCCTGTATATGATTATTATGATTTGATCACATTAAAATCCGTAACCTTATTTTAAATAAACTTAATTTGTCTGTTATCAGCACAGTGATTTTGCCTGGATCCGGCGATGGTATCCTGTTTTTCTTGACACCACAGTGGGACAAACTTCTCGAACTTAATGTAAGAAGAGCATTTTGTTAAGATGTAATTATTAGGTCCTTACATATTAGAAATTAGCGTTTTGTCGTACTGACCACTTTGATCTGAAATATCTCCTCTTTGGTCAAGAATGCCAAATTCAAATTTATAAATTCATTTAGCTGGTACATTTGAGTTTTGAAAACAGTAATTCATTTGTTCTTTCCTCGTTTTTTGTTTCTTTGGCGTAACTTATTACCACACAATGGAAAACATGAAATATCGGTATATTTAAGAGTACGAGTTCTACCGTGGCACCAGTGCTGCAAAAACAGCTCGAAGGATTAATGATGTGTGTTTCAAAGTTTCGACCTTCAGAACCAACCTCGTGGACGGCCGGAGACCAAAGTGGAAAATGAAGAATTAAAGGTAACTTTTTTTGGAAGCGGATCCATTTCAAAGCTCTACAGAGATAGTTGTAGGCTTCGGGGTAAGTGATAAAACTGTATTAATCTTGAACGATGGGTACCTCATGAATTGAGTGAATCGAACTTGCAAACACGCGTCGACTGCTGTGCTACTTGGCTCAACCGACACAATAATGAAGGGGTTTTTAAATCGAATCATTACTTGTGATGAAAAGTGGATACTTTACGATAATCGGAAGCACTCTTCGCAATAGCTGAACCCTGGAGACCCACCCAAATCCTGCCCTAAACAAAAATTGACTCAGAAAAAGTTACTTTTGAGTTTTTGGTGGACCAGCGCCGGTGTCGTTCACTACAGCTTTCTAAAATCTGGCCAAACGATTATGACAGATATCTATTGTCAGCAACTGCAAACCATGAAGGAAGAACTAGCTTCTAAACAACCGAGATTGGTCAATCGCTCTAGGTCACTGCTGCTTCACGACAACGCAAGACCACACACTGCACAACAAACAACCATTAAGTTAGATGAGCTACAATTGGAATGTCTGCGACATCCACCGTACTCTCCGGACCTTGCTCCAACAGATGACCATTTTTTCCGAGATTTGGACAACTTCTTACGAGGAAAAAAATCAACTCCGATGCGGCAGTCCAAACCGCCTTCAAAGAGTTTATTGATTCTCGCCCCATGGTTTTTTTAGTAAAGGGATCAATGAACTACCTATGAGGTGGTAAAAGTGCATAAAACGATGCATACTTTGATTAATTAAATACATTTTACAAAAAAAATAATTGACTTTATATTCCACCCGTACAAAACGCCAATTTCATGTGTAAGGACCTAATATATTGGACATCTTAAAGAACAATTTCAATGAAGTCAAATTTACGAAGCTGATTGTGATTGCCATCTGATACTATTTTTTTTTGGTTTGCAGGTTTGGTATGCCGCCGTAACTCAAGTTTTCTTTTCTCTCTCTGTGTGTACTGGTGCTATAATTATGTTTTCGTCATATAACGGTTTTAGACAAAATGTTTACAGGTACGATGTGTGAATGTATTACTTTGAACAATTGTTAATAAATTTAAATAATTAAACCTATTTCTTTTTTAATTGTTTTAGGGATGCTATGATCGTAACAACTTTAGATACTTTTACCAGCTTACTGTCTGGTATCACGATTTTCGGTATCCTGGGTAACCTGGCGTACGAATTAAATCGGGAGGTCCGGGATGTTGTTGGATCTGGAGGAACTGGACTTGCTTTCATCTCTTACCCCGACGCTATCTCCAAAACTTTCTTACCTCAGGTAAATATGGTGATAGCGTAATAAATAGACTTGCAACGAATATTCGGTTACTATTCGGTATTCGGCCTATTCGGCTGCTTTTATTATATTCGGCCGAATACCGAATATCTACATATTATTCGGCCGAATACCGAATACTTAAATAATATATTTTGTCATTGAGAAATAATTGGTAAAATGAAAAATTAAAATCGATTGATTACGTATATATTCATATTTTCATTTCTGTTATAATCATTTAAGTAGTCATTGGTGCATAACACAGGTACATAATCATCTTCTGAATTGGAAAAATAGAGGATTTTATGTATTTGAATTAGTGTGGTAATCAAAATTTAGAAGAGTAAGGTTCTTATTTCTTTTATAATCATTTATTAAGTAGTCATTGGTACATAAAACAGGTACATAATTTAATTCACGTCTGTACAAGTTTTTGGCGCTAAAATCCAGCCGAATACTTTTGCCTAATATTCGGCTATTCGGTCAGGGGCCTCGCCGAATATTCGGTATTCGGTATACTGCCGAATATACTATTCGTTGCAAGTCTAGTAATAAACGATCAAAAACTTTGTGAAAAAAATAAACACATCCGCTTTTGGTATTTAAGACATGCTCTGCTTGATTTTTATGTATAATACTATAAAGTTAGGTGGTCAGCACACCAGCGCCTCAATTTTGCTAGACTGTCGATGTAATGTCGTTGGAATAGTTTTGTACTTTTCCTATTTTACTAACTATGTAAGACCAATGGCCTCCCGATGACTTGTGACTGATACAAATATCGTCGATATCTTTGTAACGGTTTGGTAAACGGTACATTTTAAATTTGTAAGAAAATGATACATTAAATTTTCCAGGTATGGCAATGTTGTTGAGATCACTTTCGATGATTTACATTACTATATCGACAGACTATTGACTCTGTGAATTTATGTTAGTAGAATACTGATATTTTGACCGATGTCAATGGCTTCTTAATGGCATCTCAATAGCGTGTCAATGAAATAACAGTGGTTTGGCGTTAACATAAAATAGGCCATGTTAAACGGCCCTAATAAACATGCATAGAAAGTAAATACAACTAAATATTTTTAAAAACTTTCTTAACTTTTCGAACAGGTCGCACTAAAATCATTAATATGTCTTTCAAAAACTAAAGCCGAATACCTTATTACATATGAATGCTCAAAACATTGCACAAAGATAGTATATAGTCTCGAGAATAAGAACTCTTCAAACGTTATAAAGATTGCAAGATGATCCTCGGAAAGCGCTTACATCATAATACACACTCCTGATTGCTATTGTAAACCTACCTAAACCTTTAAAAATATTCAGACATAGAACTGAGAGTACAATGACAAGATTTGCACACCACCAGCTCACAGCTCCTACAATGGGTGATGATGATGACGTGGTTATATAACCAGATGAGGTCCGATTTCTAAAAACTATGCATAGAGAAAGCTAAAGAAATCCTTGAGATATCACGTCATTGAGATATCATCATTTCGCATCGATTGAATAAAATAAAATGAAAGTGTTAAAAACTACGAAAAAATCCTTAAAAATATGGCATAAATCGAACCTAGAAGAAGACCGTCTCGAGTATAAGAGCATCAAAAAGATCGCAAAACTTGCAGTAGCACAATGCAGGGCAAAATCTAGAAAATATTTGTTCGATATGTTGGAAAACGCAGAAGATGAGAACGCTATCTACAAATAGCACTACAATGTTATAGATCTACTCTGAATTACACAGTCAGGGCTTGATACTAACGGCGAATGAAAATATCAATGGTAGGTGAAAGGAATACTACAAGCAAGTAATGAACGAGGAATTCCCAAGTAAGACCTGTATCGATGAAAGAGGTGAAGAAGAAGAATATCAAAAATAATTATAAGACCATTGGCCCCGACCAGATCTCAGCAGATAATTGGAAAGAAATCTCGTTTCCTTGGCTCACCAAACTCTAAAGGGCGGCGTGCGGTTTTTAGTCGGTTCGAGTCCAACATAACCAACCCATCGGTAGGTGATATACGTGGGGATTTCGGCACAGAAACAAAAGGCAATCGACGTTATTTTAAGCGATCCTTAAAGTAACGTCGATTGCCGAAAATGTCAAAGAAAGTCGATCACGCTGGTTCGGCCATATCCAAAGACACGGGATGACGACTGTCAAAAAAGCCCTAAGTATCCCTGACCAACCACGAGGTAGAGGGTGTCCGCCTGCCAACTGGTGGTCAAGTGTGCAGAAAGAGGTCCAGAAGGAGAAGGAACCTAAGTACACAAACAATTCAGAACAGAGCTCTCCGGCACAGACGTACTAGGAGACCCGACCCAAGCTGAACTGGGAAGAGGTTTCAATAATCTGGTTTTACTTTTTTGTATTTTTTCATTGTTAGTGTTAAGTGGTTTCTCAATGTGAGGCATTACTTAAACATTTATAAATAGGTTCCTTCCCTGAGTAGGTTACTACAATAAAATTAATTATAAGCTACTCCTTTGACTGTGACTTTATTTATTTTTTTAGTTGTTCTCCGTCTTGTTCTTCTTGATGATGACCGTTCTAGGCGTTGGTTCAGCTGTAGCGCTGTTGTCTACCATCAACACTGTATTCCTGGATGCATTCCCCAAAGTTAGAACTATTTACATGTCAGCCTTTACCTGCTGCAGCGGTTTCTTAATCGGTCTAGTTTACTGTACTCCAGTAAGTATTGCATCTGTCCATAAAAAAATATATATGAAAAATGAAAAAAAAATGCGATTTTTTAAACTTAATTATTTTGTAAAACTAATTTTCTTTACAGGGTGGTCAGTACATCTTAGAATTGGTGGATTACTATGGTGGTACTTTCTTGGTTCTCTTCTGTGCTATCGCGGAAGTCGTTGGAATAATTTGGATTTACGGTAAGCGCTCGAGAAAGTTTTTATGCAATATACGTAGGTCACTTTATAAGTTTTGAGATGCTGAAAATTTCAAAAGGGAACGCATCGGTGTCATATATTATTAAAAGGCAAATTTATTTGAAAATCGAAACCAAAAAGCCATTTACAGCAATAATCCTACTATAAAATCCTAAAAAAGTATAAAAACTAAGAAACTAAATTAAACAAAAATACTTGTGAGAGTTCGACTTGTTATACCGATTATAATGCGGTTACACTTAACTTAAAAATACCTAAAAGCTATCATGTAAATTAATATAACGTGCTCACGATAGGTATTAATACCATGATTAATTAATTAATTACATACCTACCTATGATTTGCGTGACGTTTCGACAAAATTGCATTGGACGTGGTCACAGCCGAGTCAGCCTGTTTAAAACGCGATAGTTTAAAAGTTGTCGAGAAACTTTAATCTCTCAAGTACGAAAACCTTCCAAAACTTGTATTAACCAAGTGTAACGTTTTCATTCAGGATTAGAAAATTTGTGCTTGGATATCGAGTTTATGCTTGGGATTAAAACTTCTTTTTACTGGAGGTTTTGTTGGGGATTAATCTGCCCAGTGATGATGACGGTGGTATTTATCTACGCACTTCAAGGAGTAACAAATTTGAGATTTGCCGACACATATATATATCCACCAGCAGGTTACGGTAAATATTATTTAATTTATTCTTCACTTTAATTAAATAAAGATAAATTAGAGAGTATCTTATTTTTTAAAGTTTTAAATTTATAACGCACAGGTCTTAGTTTTGTTTATTTGCCTCTAAAACACTTATAAATATTTTTTTACCTTATTTGGAGTACGATAACCCGTGCCGACTTGCATCAAATCATGTTCATACACAGTAATCATACACAGTAATCGCAGTATTTGTATTTTGTCATTTGTTCTCAATTATTCTCGCGATTAACACGTTATACATTTAAGAAATGGCAGTGGAACCAACAAATTAAAGTAAAATTTAGTAAATTATCAAACAAAGTAACGCATTTTATGACTGGAACCCCAATTGAATTAGCTACATAATGGAAAGGGTTAAAAACAACAATTTTCGAAATTTTCTGAGTTCTGTTGGCACGGGTTAATGTTGACGTAGGAAGATAACATTTTGTATTTAAGTGAGTCTGGGTATTTTTAAAAAGAAATAGGGGGTATGTATTTCGATATAAAAAAATAAATTTCGCCCATATATGGGACACCCTAATATATATATATATATAATATGGCTAAGGTTATGACTATGTTTGTATGTTATTTTCTATTGGGAAAATAGTTGTTATAATAAAGTTCAAACAATATTTATCAATTAGTGACAAAATAAAAAACAAGTGAAAAAGTAAAAAAGGTTCTCTGAAAGGTGAGTAATGACGCAGTAACACAAATCAATAATATTATAGTATTGCAACAGATACTGCTGTTGTTTATAATTTTAAATTAACATACATGTACATATGTCAATTATATTATTGCTCAAATTAGTAAACTAATTAGTTATGCATCTTTATATTGTATCAGAAAGCAATAAGTTGGATTCATCAAAACATCATAAGACCCTTAAATCAGTGCCCGGTTTATAGCATTAGCATTGCCTCTTATTATGTAAGTAGCAGGCGTCCTTCCCCTTCGAGGAAACATGAGTGAGTGTTTCTATTACGAGTATATGTATGTTTATATTTTAAATGTGATAACTATTCTTTGATGTTTTTAGCGGCCGGATACGTAATGTTGTTCGCTGGTGTCTCTTTCGTCCCTATCGGTATCGCATATACTTTGTATAGAAATAGAAGTGGAAACTTCCTTGAGGTAAGGCCTTACCTTTAGAATTTATAAAAAATAAAATAACATTAATAAATTTTGTTGATTGTAAATTGTAAATTTACAGACCATCAGAAAGTCGTTTGCTCCCAAGGCAGCCTGGGGTCCTATTTCACCCACTGAGAAGGCAGGTTGGGAAGAGTTCAAAAGAGAGGCTAAAATCCATAGGGAAAATGTGGGAAGCAGTTGGCCCGGTCACATTTGGCGCAGTTTAACCGGTTTATACAGACGAAAATTGTAACCCTATTTTTATTAGAGATAATTGTAATATGTATGTAAATTATTGATGTACCTATTTCGAACAATTTTGAAGACTAATTGTGAATACAATGATTGTTTTACAACTTTATAAGAGACTACGACTTGTGTGACCGATGTCATTTAATGGAAACGTGTGTAATACTGTGTTATGGATGCTAGAGTTGACAACCCTGTTCGATTATATTTACTTACAATATCTATAATTCACTGTATATCCATGAATTGTCTTTGAAACCGATGCAGTGTTATCATAATAGTAATATAGTACCTATTGGCTGTGCCACCTACTAATGTTAAGGTTAAATTTTTTGATCGCATATGTCGGTTTTAGCCGACAAATGAAGACGTGGCCACTACGCCACCGTCGGTAATGACAGACAAAAATACATTTTTATATTTAATAAACATATAAAAAGTTTACTATGTTTTCTGCATTCGTTCCGTCATTTAATAACGTTTTTTTTTGTGTATAGGTAAAACAATATCTTGTTTAAGAAAATTACAAATATCATCAAAAAATACAACATTTGATGTGATGTAATGGGCAAGATGGGCAAGGTGGTGTATATTTCGATTAAGGTGTAGAGTTTCTAAAGTTAAGGCTTCTATAGTTAGGGCGTTTAGAGTTAGAAGCTTGGCTCTACATGAGATCTGATAATTTTTTGTAACGGTGCGAGCCAATTATGGTCTCTTCTTGGCAACATTTTAGGTGAAAATGTTTTTGGTGGGATAATATTTTACTAAAAACAATTATTTTGCAAGCAATATTAAAATAATAATAATATTTAGGACAGCTGACACACAACGACATCTAGATTCAAACTAAGCAGAGCTTGTGCTATGAAAACTAGATTGACTGATAGAATACTTATAATACTTAGAATACATATTATATATAGAAAACACCTAAACTCCGGTATCGGATATGCAGGCATCTGTGGAATCGCGGCATAAACCCAAATTGGTTTCGACTAATGTTCAATTAGTCTAAACCAATACAATTTCCTCTTTCACTCTTTTGTTTACAAAAGTAGGATTAATTTTTATTAGTTTTAGCCATTCTATTAGTTTAATTGAATATTTAGTTCACTACGTCTATAATAACTATTGAGATAGTGGCTCTTGTGTCGTGGTTTTGTCGAGATAGTGAATGTAGTGCTGTGTTAAGATTAATGAGGATTGAAGAGGCAGTGTGACTTCATAGAGTGCAGTCAATTAATTTGAGAGGTGCATTTTGACAGCTAAACCGACTTGACTTACTTGACTTAATATCACTAAATCCAAGAGATGGGACAGTAGTCCTCCATCGCGTTCGGTCTCGATTCTCTTCACCTCATCTGCGACAGTGCGCCGCCAAGTTTGCTTTGGGATGCCTGTTTGGCGATATGCTTAGGTTCAAAGTGTGACCGATCCAGTTCCACTTGTGGCGCCTGATCTGGAGTTCGATCGGTGATTCGTGGCAGCTTTCTAACAGATCTTCATTGGAGATCTTCTCGGGCTAGTATACCCCAAGAATTAACGAAGACCTGGAGCCGGTTCGAGATGGCTTTTGTGACCTTCCACGTTTTGCACCCATATAGCAGTACTGATTTTACGTTTTTACCCGAAAACTTTGATTTTAATCCTCCGAGTCAGTTTTCGTGACTGTCACACGGGCCGGAGTTGTGCGAAGACAGCTCGGGCCTTGGCAATGCATGAAGTGATGTCCTCCTCTGCACCACGATACGACGTTTCCGAGGTAGGTGAAATTAACTAAACTGAGCTTGTCACAAAATAAACTTTATACGATTTGAACGAAACTTTAGGGTTATCTGTGTTCCCCAATACTCTTGGGACATTTATATGAAGGGTATACACGTGTTCACGTAAACTGGTTTTATTCCCGACTAACTTAACGGCAGGGGCAGCCGCCTCTAGACAAGTATATTATTGCTTACTCTACCTGAACTGTACACTTGCATATTAATTATTACATATGAAAGGAAAGTAAGTTGGTAAGATACGTTGTGTCCCTACAGAAACATAAAGCAATTCTAATTTGAGTTAAACAATTTTTAAATAAGTAATAATTTATGATACTGAGTTAAAGGCATGTAATTCGACATATTTCAGTTTAAATTTCTACAAGTAACTTTAAAGTTAAGTGACGCGATTCCTCATTTCGAAATCGATTAAAATGAAGTGCAGTGATTTTTGTTTTTAACTTTAGTTTTCGTACATTTTAATTGTTACGAAGGTAAAGATTAATCAGCAAGGAACTTAGCATGAGATCATCTTTGATAATAATTAAATAGTTTATTCATTAGTTCAGTTTAATTTTACGTTTATTTTTCCGTATAACTAATTAGGACTGAACAGATAAATTTCTATTTATTTTTATGAATAATTAAATTATTTTTTAATTCAAATTTGCGACTATTTATGGCAAATAAAATAAAAGTTAACTTTTTATGTTTCCACTTGGTTTTGCCTCCGTCTCCGGCCGCGTGTATGTCGGTTATTGCGGTAAAATATAGAATATGTCCTTTTCAAGAATCAAACTATCTCTATACCAAATTTCATCTGAATCGGTTCAGCGGTTACTGATTCTCCATACAAACTTCATCCCCCTTTTTCACCCCCTTGAAGGATGATTTCTGGAATGAAAACTATCCTATGTCCTTTCCCGGGACTCAAATTATCTCTACACCGTCAGAGTCGGTTCAGCGGTTTAAGCCTAAAGAGATAGATAGACAGACATACTTTCGCATTTATAATATTAGTATGGATGTTATTATGTGCATTATCTATTATTCTATTATATATATTATTGGTCTAGAGCTGTAAAGTCAAAAAAAAGTTTATGGTACATACGTTTTGGGTACTATTATACTATACCATAACATACCTAATTATATCTCTCAAAATACACATATAGGTAGGTCGATGTAACGCTGCCTGTAATTTCGCAGATTTTGACGTGACAACGTCTTATAATTCGATGGAGCCGGCTGCACGCACGAAAAAACATGACTCATGCGGCTTTACCTCGCTCTGAGGCGTTCCATTTAAGGCTTGAAGTGCAAGCGAGAGCGCGGAACGAGCGACAAAGAGGCACAATCGGCCTCCGCGTTCGGCAGCGTTCGACATCTGTCTCTCTCTTACTTGAGCGAGCGATGCCTCCGCGTGGACAGCTGCTATACAATATCGCTGTATATAGAATATTCATCTCTATTCTATATACAGCTATATATCGATCAATTCAATTGTGATTTCCATTTACCTCCTTCTCTATATCCATACAAAATATCTATCAAACAAATAAAATTAAAGTTTCTTTTGAAAAATGCAACCATTCCATCAGTATTTTCTTATGACGTTGTCACGTTCAACTATCGTCAGTAAACCGACTTTACAGACAACCGATTTTTAATGTAGATTTTGCCTTTAATTTGTGGACCACAGCACAATGCTATACATGATGAAATGAATAGCTAAAATTTAAATATTATAAAATTATTAACGATGTTTTGATCGTAAATTTATTTGTTATGAATCGAATATACTCGCAATCGAATTTTGGATACCCCAACCCTAAACTAGCACTGTCATAATGCACCTTTTTATTTAAATAAATTGAATATAGTCTTTCCAGGAAGGTGAAGGTGGGTGCTGGCGAAAGATGCTAGGTATTCCCTTGGCTGCACATCGCACTAACGACACCACAGTCCACGACGCTCTACACTCGGCGGCAAATAGGGACGAGTGGCAGAGTCACAGCAAACTCTTGCTACGAGGAGGCGGTTACAACCCTCATCATTGAGGCAACCGAAACGAGGAGGGAGTCTTTCCAACGTATTACTTTACTCCATAGCATGTACTCCATATACTCCATGTAGTCGGCGGCATCGGCAGTTTGTTAAAAGTAACTATTCTATACAATGATGTGAATGACCCAACGTCAAATATCATACGATAATTTTTTTCATGAATATTGTTACTTCTAACCGCCAATGATGCTCTCCTCTTCCTTTCTATATCATATATTGTCCTTCATACTTTCCGTTACTACACATATCACATCACACATCAACAGTCTTTAATAGTCCACTGCTGGACATAGGCCTCTCCTTAGAAAGGTTCAAGTACTTGAGCTGATGAACACCATTCAAGGTACCACCACCACCACCACATGAGTAACACTTGGGTACATAGCCGCTTTTAAGATGTTTACTTGACTTTTTTTTTGAGTTATATCCTTGGAAACGACGGTTTGGTGTAGGGGTTGTGTTAAGTTTTCCTTCTCTTTGCAGTGCTGTTGTCCTGCGTAGTTTGCTCGCAGTGACACGGGTGGTGACACTCAGTATTCTTAATCCGTCATCAATATTTGAAAATACAAATGAACTCGGTAGGGTTATTTGCATCACTGAGTTTAAACCACAACCATATCATACGAGACCATATCAAAAACCTGTGACATGGCCAAAAACAGCTAACACATAGCTATAAAAATATATTTTATTTTTAAAAATACCTATCAGGTAATTGGCAACTAACTATCAAATACTTTAACTACAATCGTGGTTATAGTGTATATGTAATGTGTGTAGTGTGCTATAGTGTATACGGTTTTGTTTTTATAATCGGAACTACGATCGTTTTGGTGTGACATACAGGAGTTGAATAATAGTGCTAGAACTCGAGGCAGAAGCCTACCAGCGTGTTTAAGATGTTCTACATTCAGCCAATCGTTCCCGGAGATTTACCACGTATACTAGCTATCACGTTTTGTATACGTTACTATAAATCAAATGATAATTCTCGTGCGCGATAAGTTGAGACCTGAGCGTATAACGTCACAATATAGGCGCGAACGGCAAGCGTGCGGGGGAGCGGGCGAAAGAGTCCGGTCACAATTTATCGCGCACGTGTATCGTGTATGTATACAGCAGTGCAGACTTCAGCGAATACCTATATGTATAATAAAAATAAAAATCACGACGGTAAAAATTGTTAAAAAAAATATCAGGCGTACTTTTGTAACTTTTTTGTATTGTTGTAGCTTTTCCTAAATCTTGAGAGAGAGGTTGAGCTTGATCTGATTGATCATAATTTTGACGAGTGCGCAATGCACGAGGAACCTAAGGGAAGAGTTACCGCAAATTTCAGATAGAACAACTGGAGTGAGTCAGATCGAAGAGGCCAGGGTAGGGTATAGATTGGTATGTCGGTTGGTCGTATTCCACTGGCCCCTCCAATACAAACAACAGGACACCTAACCAATCTATATAATAAATGACCAATCGGACGGCAATATCATTTTATATGCTTTGTGTGAACGATTAACCCAATGCTATTTATTCAGAAATCGATTTGTCTGGAATTAAATAAATCCATTACAATTCATTTTATTGTCAGGCCAATCCAGGTTTAACAAAAACTTTAATTATTAGTTTATAATAATAACATTGTCTACAATCCTTATATGCTTATGTTATTTTATGCTATCTATGAATTATCAATTAACTTTTTTATATCTTAAAGATACCTACTATATTATAGATTACTGGTAAATCACTTGAGTGGACGATTAATAGATAAAATTGGTGAAATGACAGGGGCTCGCTTACAGTTCGTGTATATAGTCTCGCTTCTTGTCAAGTGACTATTAGTTTGTATCCTCATGTGAAGTACTTAAAAACGAAAAAAGAAATCTTTAAAGAATGGTAAGAAATTTTCATTTTAATTATATATAGCAATGATTCTATACTCAATTATATTTCTCTATATTCAAGTCGCAAAAATGGAAACCAACGAAACATCTACAAGTGAGTGATTACAATATATTTCAGTGCTTATAGTTAAAAACATGTACATGGGCGGACTTAATCAATCAGACATTTTTAACTAGTCCACCTTAGGGTGACGTAGTAATGTTATACGGCAACTTTGCTTTGATCTATTTGAAACTTAATATTCATATTACATAGACTACACTTGTGCGTATAATACGTAGATAAATAATTTAGGTCATTCATACATAACATATGCATAGACACTCCCATACATACAAATACGTAAATGTAAACGTAAAAATACTGCTATAAAAAGAATTTTTAGAAATGAAAGCATACTATTCTGTAACTGAGTTTTTAACGGAGAAAATATAATAGAATTCATGTTTTTAATAACTACACCATACCCTCTATTAATACACTTTTTTAATAAATGTGATACATTGTTTATTATGATTATGACATTTTTCATTTTTTTAATAATATAATTGTAATTGTTATTTTAATTGATATTGACATAAAATAGAATTCTGACCTAGTATGATGTATTAAATAAGCCCAACTCGTTATTAATGTTATCTTATTGCATGCCTAAAGGTAGAATGTGGCAGAAAAAAATATTATAACTGTAACACCTAATTGTAAACCCATGTTCGCAATGAAAATAAACTGATATATGCGATGTTTTGCCAAACTTACTGTGGATTAGATAACATAAAGGGTCTACCAATGGGGATGACCTGGTTTTGACAGCTCATAGTGGTCATGTTTGATGATGGATCTTTGACGTCTCTTGACATTTGTGTTCAGTAAGGTTTGCCATTTTATCATGTCACGTTTCACTTTAAACCAACACTTGGAAATTGTCCAAAACTTCTTTGAAAGTGACGAAGGAAACCCTGTTACTGTGAATGGCGAGCGCTATAACTCGATGTTAACCGAATATTTCTTTCCGGAATTTGATGATATTGATGCAGACGACCTTTATTTTAAACAAGACGGTGCACCACCTCACATTACTCGAGTGAACATGGAATTATTGCGTGGAAAGTTTGGTGAGTCGTTAATTTCGAGAAATGGACCGATCAGTTGGCCACCAAGATCGTGTGATTTAACACCTTTAGACTATTTTCTTTGGGGGTTACGTTAAATATAAAGTGCAATAATCCAGCTACAATTTGTGACCTAAAAACCAACATTCGACGAGCCATAGCCGACATAACGGCCGAAATGGTGCACCGCGTCATCGAAAATTGGCGTGAGCGGGTGACCGTCTGCAAAAAGAGCAAAATATTTAAAACATAAATTGCATAAAATTATCTATCAAATAAATCAATCGGATGCATTTTTCATAAAAAAAATGTGTGTTTTATTCAATTTTTAAACCAGGACGTTCTTATTGGTAGACCCCATACTTGAGAAAATAGAAGAGAGAAGCAAGAGCCCCCAGATTGCATTGCTGACGAATGGGGAGGCTATATAGTTGAGAATGTGTAGAACACAAATAAAAAAATGGTGTATTGCCAAACAGTACATACAATATTGTGGGTTATACTGTGGCCCCACACTAAGTAATGATGATGAATAATAAATAAACTTGAAATGATCATCGAATCAAATTCAATTAGTGCAAAGGTATATAGGTTATTGAGTAGATCTTCATTCAAGTCGAAATTGTATACGTAATCACTATCGTCATCTTCTTATCCTTGTCCCATTATTTGGGGTCTTTTTTCCCAAATTTATTCAAAGAAATGATAAAGGAGTTTATCTGTAAAGTTAATACGTATGTGTTTACCAGGTTTTTGACGTTTTAAAAGTATTAACTGTACTTATGGTTTTAATTGATTTCATTTAATCACGCGTCGCATGGGTTTAATTTAAAGAGACAAGAACAGGATTAAATATTTTTAGTAATTCTATTAGATAAAACTTACAAAAGATAATAAAAAAACATCTTAATTGTTTAAAACAAAAAAAGCGTTTTAAAATTAAAAATATTTTACAATTAAGTTGATTATGTTGAATTTTACATATGTACTAAATGTATTCCGTAACTTTTAAGGAGATTATTAGAGGTAAATACTTTTTTAACTATAATTATCTATTTTAGTCTAAACCTCTACAAGTAGAATGTATTGATACAAAAACAGCCTAATTAGAAATCTTTCCTAAGTCGAAAACTCTACAACTCGAATTTTCTGGAGTGTCCCTAGAATTTCGCTCAGACTTACAAAAGCGCTATTGCATATATTTAATATATCATTAACAAAATTTAAATTTTTAAAATGTTATATTATTTTGAATATTTCTCGTTACTCTAAAAATTCCCTAATTTTGATTATTCGACCACTAGTGCCCTACAACACCTATCCTGTCGTTATGTGTACTCATTAATTATATGTAAAATCTAATTGGATTATGTTCATAAATCCGGATTAAAAGCAATACCGGTGTCTGATACTGACTTAAATTTACAGATAGGGACGTACACTTTATTTACTCACTACATATCACATCATTAGTGTTACAATACGTTTATACATTGTACTAGTGGTACAAAGCGACAAGCTTACACGGGGTGCATGTTTAATACCCTTGTTGCTGCTAAGAATTAGCTAATACTAAAACCCAGTAACAATTTGTCAAGCCCGACGCTAGAACCTCATTTACTACTAAGGTATTTATTTCAATTTTTCATTCCCACTCATTTCTGTGTACACACATTTCCTTCTAACCTTCTCTGCAATCGTTTAAGCTCGCTTTTGAACATGACATTTATATATACCTTAAAATGCAAGTATATGCAGATTTGTCTTTAGTTGTGAGTATCGGGCACAATTACAAACTTATTATCAGATCATTGACCAGGACAATGTATCGAGTGTGAAATATTTTACAAACATACAGCAAGAATGTCGTTTAATATAAATTAGTCTGTATACTCTAATAGGAGTATTTACTTCGATTTCGTAAGTTCTTTCGGTAGGATTTGTATTTTCTTCGTGTTTGTCTTTAGTAAGAATTCGTTTTGCATTCATTCAGGCAATCATTGTTTGCCATGATTGTCAAGGATTACCTCTTTTGGCTTTGCCAAAGTCTCTTGGAATACTTACTTAACACATCATGCGGTTTAATCGGTTCGATTGTAACATATCACTACTCACTGCTAACCCTACTTAACCACTAGGGGTAAAAATAATACAACCACTGCCACTATTGAGTCTTTTTTAACTTTAAATAAAAAATTGTAAATGCTTCCCTAGCGCAAGTCAAAATAAAGGTTGACAGTCAAAATTTGTTCGCACAATTTTCTACATTTCTTAACCAAATAAAGGAGAACTAAAAAAAATATATTAGCAAAATAGAACTCTCAAATATAAACTTTGCATTTCAGGAACTTAGTAGCAGAAAGACCCCTACAGAAGGCACAGGGAAGCAAAGCGCCAAACCAATTAAAAATGAAGTAAGAATACATTTCTCGTATTTCTATGCTTATGATAGTAGCCTAACATAAACATAGAAACCTTTCTTGTTTATGTTGGGCTACAGTGAGATGCGCGATACTGCTGCACCGTCAAAAAAACTTATATTTGTCATTGAGTCTAAATAACAACTAATTTAACAACAAACTAGAACGTTGATCTTAAACAATTCAATATGAATGCTATATACTATCAAAAAATATTCAGTTCTAAATAAATTAAAATCAATTTTTAGCTACCATTATACTCAAAGTCGAATTTATACCAAAAGTTTATATTTTGACACCCATTATAATAAAGTAAATAGCATAGAGAATAAATAGGTCATAAAAAATACATTAAGTTATTGTATGAAATTAATATATTTAAGCCTAATTTTTACAAAAATGTACATTTCAGTTACCAGAAACCGAAAGCGTTTTACCAGAAAGAGCAGAATGGAGTAATCAAATGGAATTTCTTATGTCCTGTATCGCAACTTCGGTTGGTCTGGGTAATGTTTGGAGATTTCCATTCATCGCCTATCAGAATGGAGGCGGTGCTTTTCTCATTCCTTACATCATTGTACTGATCGTCATCGGCAAACCAATGTACTATCTCGAGTGTGTACTAGGGCAATTTAGTTCAAGAAATTCAATTAAAGTGTGGTCGATGGTTCCTGCTATGAAAGGTATTGATTTTGCGCACTTGTATTCAATCGCTTATTATATAAAAGAATAAGAATTAACAAGCACCAATTATAATATTGTGTGCAATGTAGTGGTAGAAAATTGAGCAAAATTTTGAAATTTAAACAAGCGTTTAATTACCGAGAGAAAAAAGTAATTTTTGACAAAATTAACACACATTGGGATTATTAAATATGTATATATTATAAAGATTATCATAAGAAGTATTTTGGTATTTATTTCTATATTGGCATAGAACACTTTAGTCTGATACCTAATTGTTTAGACATAAAAACGTATTTACTGTATGTGATTTAGATACAGATTATAAGCATGTTCATTCCTTACACACATACTGTGAATTCATATGACTTCGGCTAGATATTACAACACTGTTTCATGTTCCTCGGGAGACAGACATTTTCTCAAATAAACAGGAAAACAAAAATTTCTAATACGCACACAGCTCCCTGGTATGTATGTGTTTTACTTCTGAGCACTCAACTTGTAATATAGTTTTAACATTTTTGATTTTTAATTTTGATGGTTTGTGGTTGTGATTATACCTCCGACCGATTTTTGTGTTGCTATCACTTTTTCTATTTATTATTTTAAGCATTAAAAAAAACAATGAATATTATCTAATATAAAATGAATCTTGTTTTGTAGCAAAAAAAATAATAATAATTTAAGTTTGTAAAATTTTGCATGATGTGGTCGCCTGTTAATAAGGAGGCACACTAGCTCGAACATTGTAAACCTAATATAACAAGTATGGTGTACTCCTTGTTGGTTAACCAAATTAAATATTTTGTTTCAGGAATCGGTTACGCTACCGTTTTGGCTTGCTGTTTCATATTGTCATACTACGTAGTGATAGTAGCCTTATGTCTTTACTACCTAGCGATGAGTTTTCAGGCAACACTGCCATGGGGGGTATGCGCACCAGAATGGACCAACTGCGTAGCCTCAGATCCCAGCCAACAAGTTGGGGAAGTCCTACCAAACGCCAGTAGCAGTGCGGAACTGTACTTTATGTAAATATATTTAAATTAATTTTATTGTTTTTGCTGGAAGTGTTTAAAATTTAGCTTTACTCGTAGTAGCATCTCTAATCATAGGACAGAGATACGGGTGCGTATCCGTATGTCTCCAGTCGCCGCCGCATTCATAAGCTACCGGAGTCTCAGTACTGTGTCGACATCCGATAACTGCATTATCTCTTATCCTAGATCACTCCAGATAGTGAAGTAACCCTTAGATCTGAAAACTATAACATTTCCAAGTAGAATAAGCGCCCAGTAGTTGCCCGGGCCATAAAAGAAATTAACCAATATCTTTTGCAATGTTACCCCTTTGTGTTATAACAAAAGTTTTAGTGTTTTATATTTCTTTTAATCGTTACTATAGTTTCTCGAGAATTCATTAGAACAATAGTCGATATTTATATTTTCGTTATTGTGGTCATGCTAATTCTTTTAGAACTAAGTAGGTTTATTTTTTCAGCAAAACGGTACTTCAACGAAGTGATGGCATTGAAGGTGGTCTTGGTAAGTATTTAATTCATAAGGAAGGTCATAGATGGAACATGTTCTGTATAAAAAAGACGAAACCTAGAGATTCTATTTTGTGATAGTTTGGTTCACAACATGCTTATGTATTGCAGGTTCCCCAATATGGTATTTGACCTTATGCCTGTTGGCTTCGTATATCGTAGTCTTCATTATCGTTGCACGAGGAGTGAAAAGTTCGGGTAAAGCGGCTTACTTCTTGGCAATTTTCCCTTACGTAGTGATGATAATACTATTAATTACGTAAGTTTAATTACATTTAATTCTAAGATTTAAGATTTTATCATCTATCAAAACTTGAATTATAATCCATTAGAATCTAATTTAAATCAATCAAATTAATTTTATTAAGTGAGGTAGTTTGTAGTTGCTCCAATATAAATATCTTCAGCTGAGTACATTTGGGTCTAAAACTGTTTTTGCCAAATGCCAGGCTAGGTAATAAGTAATGTTACACTCGGTGGGAGCATTTCCTCTGAACTGATAAATAAAAGTTAGCATAGCAACGTATTTGACACTACTATATATTAGGTAGAGTAGAGTATACTTTTATCTATTCATAGTTTCTAAGTGGGGAATTTAATAAAGTAAGTCACACGTGTAAATATTATAGCATATATTAGTATTGTTGCGCCATAGGATTAAATGGTTCGATTGTATGGAATGTAGAGGACAGCGCCATCTAGTATCGACTAAAATACATCTTGAAAGATTTTGATTGCACGGATGGCGTAGTGGTTTAAGCGTTCGCCACGCCGCTTCCTACTGCGCCGAGTGTTGTGGGTTTAAACCCCACATGGCACGACACTTTGTGTGATCCACAAATTTCTATTTTACGCACTAGGAATGAAATTTCTATTTCATTCCTAGTGCGGGAGTTGTCTTTTTGACAAAAAAAAATCTATTAAGATTGAGGTTAATACGAGTAGTTCTGATTCTTACAGCGTTAGATGGCGCTGCAAGTAACACGTGACTGATTCTGGAATATTCTTGTTTTTCTGGAACGGACTATCGAATACTAACCTTTCTAGTAAAATTCAAAAGCGCAATAAAAGCGAAGCGTGTTGGCCGTTCGAGACAGTATCGTTTTACGACACAGCGAATTACATCATATAATCAGTATATTTAGATCGTAACTTATGTATATTAAATGATATTTTTGTTTTTTTTTCAGAACGGTAATTCTGCCAGGCGCAGGCACTGGCATCCTTTTTTTTTTGACTCCACAGTGGGACAAGCTCTTGGAACTTAATGTAAGTTAAATAAACGTGGTTTGTTTGAATTAAGTAACTTTGAGAATTTATTACATCATTATTAAAAAACATTTTATACAACATCAAGACTAATACAAATAGGCTAGACTCGACATTACAATTGTATGCTTAATAACTGCGCAATGTCTTCAAAACGCTCTATACTTAAGAAATCGAAGGATTTCCCTTTCATACTGATGCCCGATTATAAATTTAGATTTGTCCTTTGACAGTATAACATTAGGTTTTATATAACAGTGAAATATTGTTTCCAGGTGTGGTATGCGGCTGTCACTCAAGTGTTCTTCTCACTATCTGTAGCCACAGGAGCTCTCGTTATGTTTTCCTCATATAATGGATTCCGGTCTAATGTTTACAGGTAATCCACCGCCAAAAAAATTTATAATAGCAAAAATACTAACTCACAAAGACGCACACAATTGTTCTAATTATAAATATTTGTATTACATATTAAATTACATAAGTAATTTAAAACAAAATAGTCTTAATTGTTGATTTAAATAATAAAGATAACAGTTTGCTGAGATGCCTGAGCTGAGAGTAAAGCAAATTACGTGTGTCACGTAATTTACTTTATTCAAAAAGTAAAATTCCTTACATTTATATTTTAGTAGCACGATAGCTAATTAATAAGCATAATAAGCTATATTTAGAACAACTAACTATCGCTATACTATAAACGCATACACTTCAACACTACAACTTCATACCGTGTGGTGGCGGATTAAGAATACGAATTGTCACCGCCCCTATTCATCTAGTGGATGTCGTAAGAGCCGACTAAGGGAACAAACTACGCAGGACAACAACACTGCAAAGAGAAGGAAAACTACCACGTCCAACCACGGCCTCACAAAGAACCGGTCGTCAAGCAATTTCATGTTGAACAACAGTTTTCCCCAGGGGGGTACCAGTTGCGCTAGCGTTGGCGAATTTGGACGCCTTTTTATTCGGGGGGGGGGGGGGGGCAACTGCGCTCAACAAGATACCTACCCGCAGTACGAGCAGGCATATCAGGTCACCCCTCACCACGCTTGACGTGGACTTCTGCAACATCAGGGGTCTACACTCCAACCTTAAAGCTGTCCACCACCATCTAGACAGGGAAGCCGGCCTTGCTCTTTTTAACCGAGACCAAGATATCATCTCCATCAGACTCAGCCTACCTCTCCTACCCTGGCTATCACCTGGAATACTCCTTCGTTGCTGGGGCTGGAGTGTGCGTTTACGCCTCGGCAATCTTGAAGGACAGGACCTCTCTATTTTGTGGCTCCGTGTAGACAGTGACGACCATCCCCGCGTCTATGCATGCCTCTACAGGTCCCATAGCTGTAGTACCGAAACTGACCGACTGATGGACCATGTCCAAATAGCTACAGATTCGGTGCTGCAGCAGATCCCATCCGCAGAGATCGTGATTCTTAGCGACTTTAACGCTGAAAACGTCGAATGGCTTGGCTCACGTAAAAGATTTCACCCTGACCTATTGCTTGTCACAACTGGTATCAACGCCCATGCGAGTCCCAGATGTGGAAAGTTATGAGCCTTCACTGTTGGACCTTCTGTTGACCTCTAATCCGGTCGGCTACAAAGTTATCGTTGAGGACCCACTTGGCTCTTCGGATCATAGCCTACGGAGTACGGTGCCACTCATGAGTTGCACTATAAGTCAGCGGACTGGGTTTGTTTCTTGCCGGATGATCCCAAATCCCCATATGATGTAGTGCTTTAGGGCATAGAACTATTTGTTCCATCTACAATCATTCCCATTGGTGGCAGATCCAAGCCTTGGTTCAACAGACGAAAGGTGATGTAAACACCAGCACGCTAAAAAAGCAATACAATTTTGCCTCCAGATCCCTCAAAAGAGCCATTACCGGGGCGAAATCGGAGGACATCAGCTGGATTGGTGAGAGACTGGTGAGACTTCCTTCTGGAACTCATGCATTCTGGTCTCTTGCCAAGGCAGTCCAGGGGAATTTCTGTAGCCAAACCCTTCCATCCCTGCAGATGGGCGATGATTTGTTGGCGTGTGATGCCAAGGAGAAAGCCGATCTCCTAGGTGAACTCTTTGCCCGTTTCACAGATTAGTTGAGCGGGGCAAAAAGTGTCTCGAAAAGCGCACAATAGTGGAGCGCCAACTATCCAGGTGATGAGGATGAAAATTTTGCCGTGTGGAACCATGGCGGATATTAGTCCGAACAATTCCGAGCACTCTTCATAATATATGCGATAGAGAATGCAGAGTGAAGCCACATCTCTACGTAACGCCAGGGGATCGAGCCGATCGGAGATGTTTGGGCTATCGACGATTCGAATCGCTCTTCGTTGGATGCGGTCCAGAGGGAGAAGCTGGTACTGAGGTGCCGTTGCAAAAAGACGAGAACAGTATTCCATATGCGGCCGGACTTGCGCACTATAGAGCTGAAGGCGGTGGGCCGTCGTGAAATATTGCCTCGATCTGTTCAGCACACCGAGCTTCTTCGGGGCCAATTAGACCTTACCCTCTAAGTGAGCCCGAAACTGGACATCGCTCGATATATCGATGGCTAGGATTCCGATGCTAGCTGAGGCAATTAGGGAGGTGCTCTCAAACCGAGGTGATACGACAAATGGTATCTTCTTTGCGGTGACCGCACAGTCCTGTGTCTTTTTTGGGTTGAACTGCACTAGATTTAGTCGGCCCAATCTGAAACCTTCGCTAAGGAAGTTTCAATTTCAGACACGAGTTTCGACTCTCGATGACGTTCTCCCGAGAAATATTGGGGCGGCCGGTGTAAAGGGCATCTCCCGTGCTATCATCCGCATAGCAATGGATGCTACTAGTTTGCAACATGTCATTGATATGCAGAAGAAACAGTGTGGGTGATAGTACACAGCCTTGTGGGACAACAGCATTTCCCATTGTCTATCGTATATATCATGGAGAGTGCTCCGAGAGGAATTGTTCGGACTAATACCGGCGATAAATGGCGCTCCACCACTGTACGCTTTTCAGGACACTTTTTGCTTAGCACGTAAAAAAAAACAGAAAATACCTTTTATTAGTAAAGCTGTTATCCGTACCAGTCAAGCATACATATAATACCTTAATATGCATTCATTAATTAAAACTTATCTATATGATTTCATTATTTGTTTACATCTTATACCATGATTTTTTAATTTAAATTTAAAGTATTATCAAATACACTTTTGCTTTAGACCTACGCCATACAACTAAAACCTGTTTTGTTACACAGAGATGCTATGATCGTGACAACATTGGATACCTTTACTAGCTTGCTGTCTGGCATAACAGTCTTCGGAATTTTGGGTAGTTTGGCGAAAGAGCTCAACACGGAAGTTGATGAGGTACTTGGCTCTGGCGGAACTGGACTTGCATTCATATCTTATCCTGACGCTATTTCCAAGACGTTTTTGCCTCAGGTAAGCGCAGACACTTTTGTGTTATATAATACCAGTTTTTACTCGTGCTTACGTAGAAGTCATTTCTTTTGCCTTGAAAACAGTACTTCTACTTCCTATCTTCGCGATTTGCCCGTTGGTCTAGTAGTTAGTGACTGCTAAAGGTTCGATTCCCACCCAGCACAAATAATTGTGTGATGAGCACGATCATTTGTTCTGTGTCTGTTTGTAATTTATCCATATTATGTATGTATTTAGAAATATTTGAGTATGTTTATCAGCCTATCCGTGTGGTGACGGATAAAAAATACGGAATGTCACTACCATGTCGTAAGAGCCCACTAAGGGAGCAAACTACACAGGACAATAGCACTGAAAAGAGAAGAAACACTTGAAGCGAACCCTATACCCACCCGTTTGGCCAGCACGGGCTCCTCTAAACCTAATTTTTAAGGAGAGGCCTTTGTCCAGAAGTGGACTATTAAAGGCTGTTGATGATGATGGTTAATCACCCGTCTGGTCACCATAGCGCAGGCTCTGTCTAGTTTGGGATAAGATGGCCGTGTGTGAGATGTGTGAAGATCTTATTGGTCAATCCATCGCTTGACTAGTGAAAGTGTAACAAACACACTAATAATAGAAGCTCATATTCGAATATTTTAGTTTGAATTTGTCTATTTTATGAATTTATAATTAAAACGTGGTAAATTATCTGTTCCAGCTATTCTCTGTCCTGTTCTTCTCGATGATGACTGTCCTTGGCGTCGGTTCAGCAGTGGCTCTCTTGTCCACCGTCAACACAGTATTTTTGGATACTTTCCCTCGCGTAAAAACCGTGTACATGTCTGCCCTAACCTGCAGTGGAGGATTCCTTCTCGGCCTGACCTATGTTACACCAGTGAGTATGTTATGTACACAATGTAGACATTCAGATAGACAGACAGATAGAATTTTTCTTCTAATGACCCTATTATGAATTCCTGTAAGAATTTTTAGAAGCAATAAATATTTTTGGGTAGGATTACTATTTATTTATATTAGAAAATTAGAGATACGAAAATGCGGTTGGTGCAAATATCGCAATAAGCAAAAAATCTAATTGAAAATATGTTTTGAATATGGTTACTAAAAACCTTTACAGGAAACGCCCTGCATCCTTTTATCCGTTTGGACATGTAAATTTCCAAAAATGGACAGTAAATTAAAGGTTTAAAATATAAGGTATAAGTCATTTTGTAAAATATTTAATGTTTTAAAGTTGATGCTATTTATAAAAACTGCTTAATAATACACAACTGTCTATGTGTATATATTGATTTCACCTGATCTTAACACAATAAGAAGAAATCCCGAGACGTTCCTGTTTAAGGCCCGTATTTTAAAAGGTATCTCAGTCGAGAATCTAGTCTTAAAACTAATTTTAGGTAGAGATTTTATTATTGAACGTCACTTAAAACGAGATTCACCAATCCATACTCAAGTGATTGATAGCTTATTTTAGAACGATGTTTGTATCGAAATCATTACTCAGGTATAGATTTTGACAGCTGTGATCTTTGTTTATCTGAGACAAACTGAAACTAGTTTCAAGCGGTGACTTCTAAGGCATTTAAGGGAAATGAATGTGTTTTACGATGATTTGTTTCTAAATAATTACGAAAGATTTACTTTACTTTATTTACGAAAGAATTACTTGTAATACTGTAATCAACTCATTTTAATTTAATTTAATTAAAATTAAATTCACTCTAATTCACATTTTACACACACAATACTTGTTTAAATTAAAATCACCACAACCTTTTGGTTTGTGTTAAAAGTATAATAATATAAATTCAATATCCTAGTAATATAAATTTCAGAAATATAAAAATAAAAACATTGTTTGTCATTTCAACATAACAAATAGAGAAATTATGTTTGCAAAAGAAAATTATTATTTTTATAATTGGCTGCGTAATACGAAATAATTTGGTTGGCAAGGGTTGGCTGGTAGAGAATGCCTTGGGCATTAAGCCCGCCGTTGTACATAAGTGCATAAAGTTGTAAATAAATAAATAAAATAATAATGTCAATCATGCGGAAACGTAATTGAGAATAGACTGTAAGTTCAAATCAATACTTGAAACTAGTTTTAAATGAGTAAAACTTAAAACGCGTTCTATAATAAAATCGATATTTAAATTTTGATCTGCACTTAAGACTAATTTCAGGCAATCAGAGTTCAACTGATACTTGAGACGTCTTATAAAATACGGGCCTAAGAGTTATAGAATTTCAAAGATGTATGAAATAAGTTTATTTAAATTTCTAGCTAAAATGAAGGATTGATTTCAACAATTTTATATATATTTTCAGGGTGGCCAGTTTATTTTGGAGTTGGTTGATTACTATGGAGGCACATTTCTTATTCTCTTCTGTGCTATAATGGAAATCATTACAGTGTTTTGGATATACGGTAAATATTTACATTAATTAGATATCGATATCTGATCCATTTTAGAATTTTATGTATCTAATTAATATTTTATTTTATTTTAAATGTTAGGATTTATTTAACGTAAGTACTAGAAGTACCTGATGTACTAATTTGACTTAGAAAGTTTTTTCTTCACTGTGAGTTATTATTAAAAAAGTATTTATGATAAATAGTAACTACCTTTGTCTTTTATAAAATTGTTTAGTACATATTATGTATGCGTACACTACTAACACATATTAAAACACATGTTATTTAAATAGACATATTAAAATGTGTCTATTTAGATTTTAGATACAGTTCTTTATTTCATTTGAAAAGTCATATGTTTATAGTATGTTAGCAGTTTTCTCATTTGATGTACCTCTGTAATCTGGAGAAGTTAATCTAATTTTCATTATTATTTCAGGCTTGGAAAACTTATGCGTAGATATAGAGTTTATGCTAGGCATCAAGACATCTATATTCTGGAGATTCTGCTGGGGATTAGTCTGTCCAATATTGATGGCAATTGTTTTCGTCTTTGCGCTGATTACAGTTGAAAACTTGGTGTTTGGCGGCTTTTATACGTATCCAATAGCAGCATACGGTAAATATTGATTCTTTTATCCTTTGAGTAACCGTATTTTATAGATCTGTAACAGGCCTTGATGTTTGTTTTAATTTCTATAGAGTATTTTAAAAGTAATTATCGATATGCTGCTGAAAAACATAAATAAGCTTTTGCATTGTTACGAAGCATTTTACCTTGTAGTATAGTTTGAATTATGTATAGATCATCTAATGTCATTTTTTCTCAGCGGCCGGATACACGATGGTTGCAATCGGAATTTTATTCGTCCCTATCAGCATTTGTGCGGCGCTTCACAAATTCAGAACTGGAAATTTTATTACTGTAAGTGGTAGTAGTTTTGAATACTTATTTCATTTACATAATGGTTATTACGTACATATTATTATATTTTTAGAGTTAAATACTTTTTTTACTTTATGTTTATCTACAAACTTATTATTATTTTCAAATACAAAGTCAATACATATAGCAAACAGTACGCGAGGCCTTATTTTTTTTTTAACGTGTGGAAACCCCCTCGGTCTATCAGCCCACCGGCGTTTGCGGTGGGGCGGTGTGTGGAAATCGAACCGACTAAAACTACACGGTGTGCCACTTTGCGCCTGAGATAGAAGGGGTCCGGCAAAAGCTGATATTAAGAAATCCGGACATTTGGGTAAAATCTCGACCTAGGCGACGTCCGGCACACGTGGACGTCGCCTCCTTGCGGCTGGCCTCTGTAGCGGATGGAGGAGAAAACCCGTCCCATCCACCCGCAGCCCGGCAGCGCAGATGCTAACGCTTTGAAACATCTGTCACTACCGGCCATGGAGCTTATAACGGCCGGTAGCGAGAGATCCCCTCCTATGACTGCAATGAGGACCCGGCGCTGCGGTGCCAAAGCCGGGCAAACTGCCAGCGTGTTCTGAGCCGAGTCCTCACTGCAATCGCAGTGGTGATAGGCGGGACTCAATTCCCTCCTAGCGACCGAGTGCAGGTACTTCCCAAAGCAGCCGTGCTCGGATAGGTGTCCTGCGTGAGTCGGAAGGAAAGGGTCCCGTGCTGCCGCCCTGCCCACTCGACGATGACCGGCTGGAGCGCCTCCACGGCGGCAAAAGTCGGGACGACCAACGAGCCATCGTGGCTCGGCGAGCGGCCTCACGCCACTCGCGTATCTCTTCGGGCGGGGGCCGACTGCCACTATCCGCCCACTCAGATATACTCCGGCGTGCACTTCCTCCTCCAAATCCCACGGGGGAGTACCGGCCAATGCGCACGCCGCCTCTGTCGAAACGGTGCGATAACCGCGGATGGCACTAACCGCCAATATCATCTGAGGGCGCCAGAGGCGTGCCCTATTCTGGGCGGTCAGAGACGCCGCCCACACTGTACAGCGCCATTGACCAGCCGTCTTGTAGCGAAGCCGGGTCCACCCAAATTGGGCAAAAGTCACCAAAGGGCAGAAGCCATGCCAGCACTTCCGACCAGCTTTAGAGCAAGCTGTCGGAAGTGCTCGTCAAAGAGCCACCTCCCGTCGAGGATCAGGCCCAGATACTTCATCTGGCAGCAATACAAACAAATTCTTTAACAGGACCAGCTTCCCGTTCTTTCAGCACTCAGGGAAACGTCCTGACGCTAAGCTAGCGTCAAACACCTCCCTGAGTCGGTCTGCCATGTGGTAAAGGGCTAGGGCCAGCACTCAGGCCGGTACCCCTTTGGGCCCGGGGGCGGTCGTCTTAGAACGGATACAGTCCGCGAGGCCTAAGCTGAGCTTTGCATTTGTGTGAGTGCACATATATAGTGTAGGTGTGACGGCGGCCTTTTATTGTTGACGGGGTAGAAAATCCCTTCGGATCTCCGGCTCGGGGACGCAGTAGCTAGGAGTATGTGGAGTTTCCACTAAAAACCACCCCGACAGCCGGTCGCGGTAGGTGACGCGACCTCTTTCCCTACCTACCCAAGCAAGCCCAAGCCAAGGCTAGGCAGAACGGCACAGCGACAGCGCGTTGGCATGCATTCTGCGGCTGTTCCAGCCGCCCTCGCCACTGCACCAGTGCCTGTCGGTGAGCGTTTCGTCGCATTTCGAGCTCGTCCTGATCTTATTCACCGTCACCCCGGCGGGATATCAAAAGGCGAGAAACATGAAAGGACTGTCGCCGAAATAAACAATCCAGGTTCAATTTGGTCATAGCGAAAAGAAGTGTATTTCTTTTAGGATTTAAATAGAAAGGGACAGAAGATAATAGCAAAATTTTAATGTTAAAACATGAGATACGTTATCTACATATCATCTACATATAATTTTTAATTAAAATTTCCCTATATCCCATTCAGGGCCTCGTCGTCGTTTATACCTACTAACGATTTATTGACACAACTGAGTGAGTCATCTGAATAAGATTTCTGAGAACTTCTGGTTTGAAGAAACCAATTTCTAGAGGAAATCGTTTAATAATAGTTAATTCCGCCGGAAAGGACGCTTTGATACTAAATGCACTGCTGATATTCAAAGCTAATTAAAAAAGTGGTGATTACCATAACAATATAAATGCAGAAAATTACACGAAATGGTTACAAATGCAACTAATTCCAAATTGAATAATTTAATAATGAAAAAGTTCCTTTATATCATCAAGAACGATCTTGATAAAATAAAAGCAGTATTCATTATTAATAGAAACGACACATCAGACGAGAGTGAACATGAAGACGAGAGTGATAATGAAAATGATGAAGATGCAATGTCCGGTGTTATAGAATAGCTCACACAAATGCAAAGCTCAGCCTAGGCCTCACGGACTGTACCTATACACATATTTTATAGCATTTTCGTTAGTATATTAGATACCCTCTAAAATTCACGTATTGTTACTGTTATAAGTCGAGCCTGCTCACTTTCCTTTCAGTAGAAAGAAATCGGGTAACTGCCCTTAATGAATTCTTGTTACGAAACTCACGGAGGGTCACGGCGCTCATGTTTCTTGTACCAAAAGATACAATGATGTTATAATGAAAGTTACCAAGATTTGAAATCTTTTATTTTATTCCTTAATAAAAATTAACCAAAATATAATTGTTTTTGTGAGAACAGGCTTGTTAAGGCTAGCTTTGAAATGTCTAAATGTACTTGTATAAAGTTGCACTTTATTTGATTACAGACTTTTAAAAAGTCCTTCAAGCCCAAACCATCATGGGGACCTAGATCCCCTATGGAGAAAAAGGATTGGTTATTGTTCAAAACTCAAGCCAAAGTGGAGAGGCAGAAAAAGGGGGTTAACAATCAACTTTGCCATATATGGTATAGTTTAAGCGGTAGTTATAGAAGAAAATTATAAAAGAAGCAAATAATAGAAATACCTACATGTAATCAAAGTTAAAGTTGAGTAATATGAAGACTTTAGTATATAGTTTAAAGGTTCTAATAAATGTTAGAAATTATTTTAAGTAAATACTGCATTAGATATTAGTATTAGTAATATTACAATAAATACTGTAGTGGCTAGTTGATGTTCTTATGTTAGTGGCCTCTCGTGCCAAACCGACCTCTTAATTGACTGCACTGCCTGAATGACTGCACGGATGGCGTAGTGGTTTAAGCGGTCGCCACGTCGCTTCCTACTGCGTCGAGTTTTGTGGGTTGAAACCCCACATGGGACGACACTTTGTGTGATCCACAAATTCTTGTTCTGAGTCTGGGTGTTATTTGTAGCCGTTCCATGTATGTTTGTAAAGTCCCCCGCGATACAGGAACGAATTCCTAATGCGGGAGTTGTCTTTAAAAAAAAAACACCTTAGGTATTTTAGCTCCCTATCCTTTTCCTCGCCCTAATTCACGTTCTTCCTTTATTCAAAACACTGATGATGGTTATAATAAATATTGTTACGGGACATATTATCAGGCGGGTGCTAACGCTATTTAGACCGAAAGTATAGATAACTCGCACTCTTGGTTTAACACGAATAATCTATTAAACTTATTTTTCTTTTTATATTACAAATCAGACCTGCATAGAAACACGAATTGACATACAAATGTATTGCAAAGCATGCACATATTTTGTAAAACAAATAAACGAATCCAACACGTCGGAGTTATTTATTTTAATAAATGCTAATATGTATAAAATGTTTTTCAAACTAAATGTGGGTTAAGGTGCGTGAGTGGTTGATGAAGTTCATTGGTGATTGTTTTAATAAACCCAAAGAAATTTGTTTATTTATAGTTATGCGTACTATACGACAAGATGTGTTCTATATTTTTGTTAATTCCAAAATAAATTCTTAACAAATTTATTTTTTAAAGTCTTAGGAACTTTTCAAGATACTTCAAATATTTGTAGTATATTTTATACTGTACCATGTATTTTTATTGTGTGTACGTGGGGCGTACTGAAAGTCTCTAGATCTGGCCACTTACAATAAAAGACTGAAAAAAAAACAATTATGGAATTCGAAAATAGAACTCTTTGGCAACATAACTTTTTGCATTGGTTACTTTTTAATTTGCGAGACTGTCATTTGTTTTTTCATTGTGACGTCCTTTCGAAATTTTGTGTCGCTATCAAAATGAATTTAACTCGTGAACATCTTCGTTCAATGATCTTTTATGGTTTTCTTTGTGGCTTAAGTCAACAAAGAATTGCCAGAGACTTCAATTAGCATTTGATGATGAAGCACCATGTCGAAGTTCTGTGTATTTGTGTTTTGGAGAATTTAGACTTGGATGTGATCATCTCCATGATGAGGTACGTGAATGTCAGCCGGCAACTGCGGTTACAGACTCTAATATTGACACCGTACCATAAACTTATTGAAACTGTCAAAAAAATTCCTTGCCAGCAAATTAGTGCTTTATTAGGCATTGGAATGAGCCAAGTGCAAAACATTTTACATGTGCAATTGAAGGTTCGGAAGCTCTCGATGGATACCGTATGACTAATTTTAAAAATAATAATAGTATCGTAAGCCTTATCTAGTCTTATTTATCAGAATCCAAAAACTTTTAGATGCCCTAAGTATACATCCAATCCAGTGATTGAAAATAATAATAACTTCACACATCGCACACACGGCAGTCTGATCCCAAACTATTCAGAACCTGTACTATGGGAACCAGACTGCTGATAAACATACTTATATATTCCTAAATATTGTGTCTAAATATTGTATTGTTATTGATTGATTTTTATTATTGTAAATAAGAGTGGTGACAAGTAAAATTGTGAGAACTAAAGGCCTTTTATCATTTTTCGCAAAAATATTTGAATCTCTAGTTTACTATTAAGGCTACGAGCTTCAACAGATGTGATAGGTGGGGGAACGGCTAATTGCATCGCTCACTGCAGGGACGATACTCCCCGATTAACCCGTTCTCGGTAACGACACGACATTGGATAAGTTAAACATTTTTATATTTTAACTAAATTATAATATACGTTTGTACCGGATTGGACTATCTTCATTTTTCTCCAAACATCGGTACCCCCTTAAGATTTACAATTACCTATACGTTCATATTAAACCAATTCTCTCAGATAAACAACATGGTTTTGTTAAGGACAAGTCTACAATCACCTACAAGTTATCTTTGTCTAGCATTTGCCATCGGTGGTCAAGTCGACTCTGAGTACACCGATTTCTCCAAGGCCTTCGACAAGGTTAGTCATAGCTTGCTTTTTCGAAAAATAGGTTGCACCAAAGAATGTGCTCATATCTAGAGAACAGGGCCTCAATTCTGCTATTTTATGTTCAAATCAAATACCACTGACTCGCTATTTGAGATGCCATCGAGTGGCCATTGACATCGGGCAAAATATCGGTAGTCTACACTAACTCAGTGTCTTTACAGTGGCAATGGAATGGCAGTGGCTCATCAGTGGTGATATCAAAACGATTGCCATATTTGAAAAAATAAATCAATATTATTCATCATCAACAGCCTTTAATAGTCCACTGTTGGACATAAGCCTCTCCTTAGAAAATCATTATTATTAAATTTACTTAAAAATTCATCACCTTGACACCACTATAAGAGTGGTTATATTATGGACAGAGATGTTGGAGAAACATTTAGAAGGTGTCCCCAATGTTGTGCATATTCCCTTGGCATATTTGGAAGTGAAGTGCTGGAGCAGCAAGCCTGAATTTTTTTTGTGAATTATATGTGGTAGTATCATTTTCTTTTTTTTTCAGAAATTAAACATCCACGATCTTTTGCTTTACCTCAAATAAAAAAAAAACAATGACTATGTTGTTTTTTTACTTTCCTTTTTTGATAGCACACAAAATAATGAGTATTTCATTCATTGAGGCACTGCTTTAAAATCTATAATTATTAATATGTAAAAGTATGTATCATAAAGTAATTTAAACATTTCGTAATAAATTCTTTAAATATTATTAATACGTTTTAAAACTACTTGGCCACTAATTGACCGATACAAAACTGAAATACTATACAAATAGTTTCTAGACATTGTACATTTTAATCTAACAAATAGGGTATTAAGCTTAAATCAAAATAAAATATATATTTTTTTGTTTTAGTGAAAGTTATTAGGTACCTACCATCATAAAGTACCTATGTACTCACCTGCTAAAAATGAATGATCTTCACCGGGACCATCTAAACCCATTAAGTGTTGGCTGAGTGGAGCTAATTATTTTGTAACGTCTTTGATCATCAACTTTTGGCGATAGTTCAATCAGCTAATTTGTTTTGAAACGTTTTTGTCCACTAACTTTTGGTGACAGTTTAAAAAGCTGATTATTTTGCAACGACTTTGATCATCAACTTTTGCTGACAAAGCAAACAGCTAAGTTATGAGTACTTTATTTAATCACTTAGTTTTGTTAGTTTTGTAACATTGTAGCACTACCTAGTTTTGCTCCAAATATCGTTCAGTAGTTTTGACAATCCGTTTTTAATCATCTACTTTTGTCCTTGACTGTACATCAAGATCTGTAACTTACATAATTTATAGAGAGATGGCGTTAATAGTGCTAATGTAAAGTTTTGTTGTTTCCGAACACATACAAATTCAGTGCACGATATTCTTCCAATCCCCTCCTGGGGAAATCCCCAAAACCTTTAACCAGGTATGGACATCGAAAAACAACAATGAAATTATAGTAATAACTTCGTTGTAGATTTATCAAATTTAATCTTCTGGATTAGGTTACAAGATTTACTTTTAAGAGACCAAAAATGCCTAATACTTTTCAAAAAGTATGTTCTGAAGTTACTTACATATGTCTGTGAGGAACACTACTTATCACTTTTATTAAAACCAGTATCCTAAATAAATAAGTTTGTCGAGTTTATAGTGGGACAAACATGCAGTCAAAAAAGTATCGGGAATGGATGATTTGTTTATGGTCCCAAATTCAAATTTTCGTTTCTTTTTGTTGTTGTTAGATTGGCACAACTGTTTTCCATTTTGGCGCGGAGTTTGAGTTGCATCTGTTATTTATATAAAATACAGTGCTGTTTTTTTTTTTTTTTGGAGGGTAGTGTTGCAGTGCCACTGTCAACATCGGCTCCGTGCTTTAATCGTCAATTTAAATATCAATAACACAAGTTACAGTATAATAAATAGTTAAAATCGTGGATAAGTGCTCAATATGTATGGACAAAGTGAAAACAAAAACAATAAACTAGTAAAACAGTGCAAAAAACAGTGATCACAACATTTGAAAAGGATGTGCCATTTGTTTAAATGTTAAAACTATAGACGTTTTGTGAGACTTTATACATCAACGGAACGAAATCAATAAGCATTAGCTTTAGAACTGCGTTATAATACAATTTAGTGAAAATACTGACAACATAACCTATAACAAAATGAGTCATTGAATTCAGCATTATCCGTTTTAATAATACTGTACTTGTATAATACTACCTACACTCGAGTAGCCGATCATACTTCCCAATCGCTTCGATTCGTGCAAGAAGTTCCTGCAAGCGAAAATAGAGGACACTACCTGTACCAAAACAAAACAAAGCCAATACATTTTAATTTTTTCTTCTACAAAATGACGCAGGAAATGTTGGAGGTAATAGCGGCGCTTCGCGCGATCCAAAAGGATCTTGATGAACAGAGAAAATTGATAAACAAAACTGCTGAAGAGGTGACAGACAAGGTAACAGTTAACATTAACAAAATAATTGAAGATAAAATTGTAATCCTCGAAGAAAAGCACGAAAACCTTAAGTTGAGAGTGGATAACCAAGAAAGTAGAATATACTACTTAGAGAAACATGCAAGGCAACGTAACCTAGTATTCTTTGGGCTACAAGAAGATGAAAAATCATACCATAGTATGGAAACCAACA